TTGCTAGTCCCATGCCCATGAACAAACATTTTATTTTTGTAATGTAAAAATCTTTGAGGCGAAACAATCTAATATTATATTTTTCATTTTTTCAGCTGTAATATGGTACGAAACTATAAAATACCAACTAAGAAATGTGAGATTATAGAAGCTCCAACTAAAAGATATTACCAAAGGAATATACTCTTGCAGGCAAGCTGCAAAAGATAGTTGGTTTTGATCTTATAATTTATCTGAGACAGACACGTTGAATTTGCATAACAGTTATTTTTTTGTTATATGTAGTTGTTAAATTTTTAACTAAAACAGATGTATTGTTCATCTAGAAATGACTCTTCTTTCAGTTGTTATGCATTAAGAAATTGCTGAATATTTTCTATTTAAGAAAATACCCCTATGGGTATTACTGCCACCACCTCCACCAATATTCTCGTTCTCAAAGATTACACAAGTTTGTTAATTGTATTAACATTAGATTGTCAGTGTATATTTTCAAAACTCTTGCATATCTTCCTTCTTTCTGCTTCTATAGCAATTGATGGTCTAGGTATGCTTTTCTTAGTCCGTCGACTTACTATAAATAAATAAATAATATTGTAAAAAGGATGTCGACATATGATGGCTCTAAAAAATTTCCATTTATTCGCAATTTTTACTTAGTTTACTCTACCAATAAAAAAAAATTAAATATTACAGGTCATTTTCTATCTGTTTCAGATAAACTATTTAGCAGAGGGGGCTATTTTCTTAGTGAGGCTGTGGGCTACCTCTACTTTCAGGTGTGTAGATGAGCCAGAGGTAGTAAACCTGAAAGGAAAGGTAATGGTAAAAGTTTAAAACAGTAAAATGGCAGCTGAAGGAGAAATTAACCAAATTGAGAAACTAACTGACTCAGAAAGTTTTGTTTTGTGGAAATTTCAAATCACCGTAATATTTAAGGCCTATGGATTGTACGAAATCGTCAAAGGTGAGAAGAAGTTGGAGCAAATAACCAAAGAAGATGAAAAAACTGATTTCAAAAGAAAAGATGCACGAGCCCAAAAAGCCATAGTAACTTCTGTCGATAAAAAGATACTGATGCATATAATGAACTGTGAAACATCTTATGAAATGTTTAATAAACTATGTAAAACCTATCAGCGGGATACAGAGCAACAAAAGTGTTCACTGTTACAGGAGTTTTTTAACTTTAAATTTAATAAAGACATTGATATTGCATTAAATATAAGCAGACTAGAAAGTCTGGCTCACAGGCTGCATTCGCTAAATCAAAAACTAGAAGACAGTCTTTTAATATCGAAGATTCTTAGTATACTACCTGAACAATTTAAACATTTTACCACAGCATGGGAGTCTACTCCAGAAAATGAAAGAACAATTACTAATCTTATTGCTAGACTAGTATCAGAAGAAATTCGTTACAAAGAACAAGAACAAGAAGTAGCATTTAAAGCTTCAGAAAATACGAGATCTGAGCGCAAAAATTATGAAAACAAAAAATCACAAAATAAAAACTTCCAAAAAATGTTATGTGTGTGGAAAACCTGGACATACAACAAAAATATGCTACTACAAAAAGTCCACCATAGCCTCTACTTCAAGCTGTAACATATGCAAAAAGACAAACCACCAAGAACGTGACTATTTCTTTAGAAAAAAAGGAAGATCAGATAGCAAAGTAGCATTCCTGGCACATGATAATAAAAATAAAAATTTTGGTTTCATAATAGACAGTGGATCAACCTCTCACATGGCCAATAACAAAAATTTGTTCCATGAACTGAAAGTTCAGAAATCAGACATAAAAGTAGCTAAAAAGATGAAAGTATGAAAGCTGAAGGTCTAGGCATTATAGAAAGTAACACCTGCATTTTAAATAAGGTTCTCTACATTCCCGAACTAAGTAAAAATCTATTATCAGTGAGTGCAATTACGGAAAATAATGCAGAAGTCCTTTTTACAAAAGAAAAAGTAATAGTAACAAAGAACAGTAGATTAGATTAGATTAGATTAGATTAGATTAGGAGTTGGACGTTATTTGTCCTTGTCCACCGCGACCTTTTCAGATCTATTGTGGGACTCCGTTTGTTTTAGAGTATGTCGTCTAGCCTGGTCTTTTTTATTAGACTTAGTAGCTTTGACAGTGGCTCCCGCATGTAGTTGCATGCAATTGGCTTTTCTTCGCCCAATGTTAGAAACCTCATTCCAGCCAAGCCTTCACATTGGCACAGGACGTGGAATGATGTTTCCTCTTCTTCTTCTTCACAGAACCTGCACAAAGTTGCTTCTTCTGCTGGATTTATGACACTCATGTGCCTTTTGAGGCGACAGTGTCCAGTAAGAAGGCCTACTGTTATCCTAACGATTTGACGTTTTTGATCAGTAAATCTTTCGTAAACTTGGCCGATGGTTCCTTGATAAACTGTTTGGCCTGTCTCAGTCTTGGATAGTTGTTCCACCATTCCTGAGACTCTTTTTGCATCCATTGTTTAATGGATGCCTTGCACAATGCCTTAGCGACTCCACAAAGAACAGTAAAAAAGTATTAGAAGGAGAGAAAACTGAAAATGGACTATGTATGATTGATATAGACAAAACACCTCAAGAAAGTTTTTTAACAGAACAAACATGTCAAGTATCTAAGGCATAGAAAACGGGGACATTTAGGTATACAAAACATAAAAAGTTATTAAACATGTCCCCTGGGATAAATTTGAAAATTGAAGACTTTGCCAAGATAGATCCAGTATGTGAGATATGCCTCCAAGCCAAGCAAACAAGATTTCCCTTTTAAGAACTAGCTTCGAGACCGCTAGAAATTGTACATACCTACAGACTTATGTGGTCCTATAGATCCTACAATATGGGATGGTAAAACTATGTTCTTACTTTCTTGGATTATTTTACACACTACTGTGTAGTATACCTTATTAAAAGTAAAAACCAAGTATTACAACACCTGAAAGATTATATTCAAGAAGTTGAGAATTTTAAAAACCTAAAAGTCTGAAAAATTCGATGCGATAATGGTGGAGAATTTGCAAATTGCGACCTAAAGACATGGTGTAAACTAAAGGTATTGTTACGGATTTTACCATACCTTACTCTCCTCAAATGAATGGCAAAGCTGAAAGGCTAAACAGAACTTTATTTGATAAGGCCAGAGGGTTAATTTTTGATTCTAAATTACCAAAACAATTTTGGGGTGAAGCAATGTACGCAGCCACATACCTTCTAAATCAAAGTCCAACATCAACAATTAATAAAACACCTATAGAAGCTTGGACCAATACCAAACCGAATTTATCAAGAATAGTTTTTTATGACTTTGATGTATTGTATTTTAATTAAGACAGTTAGAATATTTTTCCTTTAATAAAACTCATATAGAATCTATAGTTTCAAATTATTTATTGTTTCGGCCTTTACTTGATGAAAATCCATTTAATTTTGAAAGAGTAAAACCAAATTTGGTAGATTTTCACACTTTTATTTTAAAAATAAAAATTTTTAAACAAACACTAACATGACATATGTTTCGAAGTACACATTTGAAGTACACATTTGAAAAAGAAGTTGTACTTCGAAACATATGTCATGTTAGTGTTTGTTTAAAATTTTTTATTTTTAAAATAAAAGTGTGAAAATCTACCAAATTTGGTTTTACTCTTTCAAAATCTATAGTTTCAATTAAAAGGAAAGTAAAGTAAAATCCTAACACCCTATTTTTATTCAGATTTCTTAAAACTCAATAGGCTTTGTCCCCTTATAGAGCTTGATATTTGCTTAAAATTTTCAAGTTAATATCATTTTTCGTTTTTGACTTATCGTGCAGACAAAAATCGTGACATCGGACAGGCAGACAAAGTAATTCTATAATACTCTTCAGAGAATACTATATGAAGAGTAGAAAAAAATGCATAAGGTAAAATAAACAGTTTAAAGAGGTAAACAATAATATTCAACTTCTTTTATCAAAGGATACTAAAAGTTTAAAATAGGTAAATCGGTTTCATCTGTATTTTCAAATTATTGTGTAATTATAGATAGTATATCAATGTTTTGATTCGTTTATACATGGCATAGGTACTTTAAATGGGGTAAAATATCAGTAATATATGCATAAACGTAGTTATGTACTTAGTTTGTTATCTCTATATGATTCAACTTATTTTTCCGGGAAAATCCAAAATTATTTCAATTGATTAAAACAAGCATATTATCATTTTAACAAAACTAATAAACCAACAGAGGTCATAATAAAATAATAAAAGTAGGTAACTGTAATATTTTTCTAACGGATTAATTATAGTAGAGCCAAAATTTAGATTCCTAATTTATATTAAAATTTGACAAGTAGAGCTTTGCTTTAAATAACATTATTTGCACATTCCGAATTAAGTAAAACATGAAGTTAAACCAGAATTATCAAAAAAAAATTATGTTAAGTTGGATGATAACTTTAAAAAAAAAGGAGAAAAATACCAATTTTTAAATTTAATTTCGACTTAACAAACGCAGTTTATCTTTATTCAGGCAAATTCAAATTAAATACTAATAGGTCGCGTAGAACAGTCATGAAATTCATTACTATCTACGATGCGTGCGTGGTATTCACAGCCATTGGCCAGTAGCTATTACATAATAAACATTCTGTCTCTAGAGTTAGAATGAAATACATGTAAAATACAAAAGAGGTAATTGTTTCAAAATTTTCTTTCAACGTCAAGAACGAGAATGTTTTCTTTCTGTTATTAATTATTAGTGGCCGTGGAGAAAGATAATTTCAGTGGTTATTTATTGTATTTTTGTTCAATATTACTTGTATTAAACTCAGTCACTCGTAAAAGATTAGTTGAATGTGCTTTCAAAAATCTAGGATTTATTTTCAACACATAAGATTCAAAACGTCAATAAAGACACAGATGGGATTAATAAAAAAATAAAAGAAAAAAAAAGTGGCAACAAAATTTGAATTAACTGAATTTATTAGTATACACGTCACAAGACATCAAATTTAAAATTTTAATAATTAATTAGTTATCAGCCTCAAATCAGTAACATTTTACTAAATGATAAAGTTTCCTAAGCTCTATTACAAAAATATGACTACTATAGCTCATCTTTTGGAATAAAATGAAAAATAAAACAAAACTTACAATTAGCATTTTATATTTGTCACTTATTAAAATTTATAATCAAAATAATTTAGCTATTATCATTTCCGCATAGTCCAGTGAATCTCCTATTCACACCTTGTCTTCCACACTCTGAGGCAGGTCTACCGCTTTTGTACACAGATTGTCCGCCGAAATTTCCACCTGGTCCATAATTACATGCCATTAAGTAAGTATTCTTACCTTTGTCTATGTAATAAGTCAAAGAGCATCCTACTTCTTTGGTGTTCGCCCAAACTAACTGGGAATAGTGTCCCACCATTTTACCACTAAAAAGAAAATGAAAAACAAAATTACTCATATGAACATATTTTTTGTGTTACTATATGAAAGACATAAAACAGATATACCATTAATAAAAATATTTCTATCATAATACAACGAGTGGTATCGGGACTATCGATATAACCTCATGAGCTAATGTACGAAGCGTGTTGCCAAAAATTATCATTAATGTATGTTCTGATACCAAAAGTTATAATACTCAATAAATTAAATCACGAATTAATAAAATATAACAGCATAAAAGCAATGACATAACATGACAAGCTTGCCTTCTAAATCTTTGTAGCATTAGATGAAATGGATGGTAGAATCCGATTACAATAAGAAGAACACCGCTACGTCATAAACATTACTTTGAATTTCGAAGACATACTTTTTTATAACTATCAATAAATAAAAACTAAGTAAGTTATTAGGTATGAAACAATATTTTCTATATTTCCATAATATTAACGGTCCATTGAACCCTCAATAGGCGACGATAATCAATTAATTACTTTGCCAGTTGCTACGTTTGAAAAGTACCTCACGGAGCGGAGTAGAGCTAGTAGATTTTTTAGTCACGTGATCATCGAGCAAATCGAGCTTATGTGGAATAAAAGAACGGCTCGTGGTTTTTGTTGCAAGTTGCACAGTAAAGTTAATTTTTAGCTATGGTATTTTTGGTTTTTTGCTTTCACTAGAAAATAAACCATGTTCTCATTTCTGTCTGATATTTTTTATAAATATATTTTTTTTAATCACCAAACAATTGAAAAAAAATAAACTGCATCACAAGAGACAACAAACGATGTCTGTACATCCCAGAAAAGTACAACTACTTTGTTAATTCTCACAGAAATTACATTTACAAGTTAATTCGGAGTAAATAAACTGCTGGCCACTCGAACTTACCCAGAGATTTTTAGGCAAAATTTAAAGTTCAATATTTTCAACAGAAATACAAATTTTTGAACGCGGCTTGAAGATTTCAAGAGCTAGTTTTTTTCGAATTATTCTGCATGGCGAATATTTATCGTAGGACGATAGATTTATTATATACGGGGTGATCAATGAAGTCATGCAAAAAATCAAAAAGTTTATATGAGTGAAATTTCCGCAAACATTTTTTTTTATTGTTGCAATATGGTTCGTTACTAAGGTAACATCAATATCTCTAGACATTTTTGTCAGTTTTTGGATTAAGGCCGTTAGGTCTTGTGCACACTACTAAACATAAAATTTGGGTAGCAAAATTTTTAAAATGCTGTAACTTGACATTGGATTGACGATTCTTAATGATTTTTGCGGATTTGTAATCCTTTTTTCACGTAGAATTTCTATGGTGTAAGCATTTTATTTGAGGGTTGAAATTTGTACATTATACCGGGTCGATAATAGACAAAAATGTAGCGTACGATGCGCTCTAAGGTTTGGCATTATTTAAGTTTTTATAAAAATACATTCTCACCTCAAATTGTTTTTATTTCGTTCTCACTGTTGTATCCAAAAGTCTCACCTCAGTTTGTTGTCTCAAAGAGTCATTCAGTTTTACAAAGTTCTTTGTCTACCCCCATGACCATATTTATGATCGGACGTAATTTCTACGAGACGCGTCAATTTCAAAGTAGGCATTGGAAAAAGACATTTTTTGCTATGGAATTAAAAACTGTTAACATTATTTTATTCAATATTATAATTTTGTAAATTTTAATTAATATGAGGCGTTTAATCACGACAGAAAGGGAAAATTGCAATCGACTTCTCAACGAAGAAATATCAAAAAAGCAAATTGAGTACATTTACAATGTCAGCCAAAACACAATTTATAATTTGAACAGTCGCGTCAAAATTATGATCATCAGTAGGATCATAATTACGGACATGGGGGTGGACATACAAAAAAAATTAACCGAAGGACCGAAAGAATTTTAATGAGAGAAACTATGCAGAATAAAACAAAGAACTCTTTAAGGCAACAAACTGGGTGAGAGTTTCGGACAGAACAGTGGGAAGAACATTAAATAAAAACAATTTGAGGTGATATATTTTTTTTTCAAAGACAAAATTTTAAATTATAGAGCCCGTCTCAGAGCAAAATGTGTGCGGTTATTAAAACAGTAAAACACCATAGAGCGAATAGACGGGCATGAGCAAATCGGCATGCGAATTGAGGTAATGGAGAGAGCCATTGTTTATTTACTGACGAAACAAGATTTAATTTGAGTCTTTCCGATCGATGGTCGAATGTTAGTTTGCAGAGGGTCAAATCAGCGGTATTTGGAGAAAAATCTGTCCCCTCAAGAGGCATTTGGTGGCGGAGGTGTTACAGTGGGGGCAGGTATCATAAGAAATGGTACAGCCGAGCTATTTATTACCAACCAAACCGTTAACACTACTGTTTATCAAGAGAAAATTTTGAAACCTATTGTTATTCCTTTTGTTTGAAATTACGGCCCAGAATTTCTATTGGTGGATGACAACGCTCGACCTCACAGAACGCGAAGGATCACAGAGTTTTGCAGGCACAGAACATCAATAGGATGGACTCGCCTGCAAAGTCTCCGGATCTTAATGTCATCGAACACGTTTGGTCTCATTTAAGATCACGTGATGTAACCCCCTGAAACCTTACAAACGCTTAGTGAGGTTATTCGTCAGGAGGACCAACAAAATATTAGTTTCTCTTTTTTTTAATTAATGTACCAACTTAATTTGGGGTAAATTATTACCGAAGATCAGGAATTTAAAGATAAGACACTTGGCATTTTTCCATTGATATTTACCGATTGCTTTCAATGACTTCATCCTTTTAACACGCTGTTGCCAACAATAACCCAATTTCATTGGAAACTCCGAAAATGCAAGGTTGCAATTCCCTGCTTTGACGCAGTGGGTTCAAAACAAAAATTAATGGACAAACAATTTATGTTTTTCGGGCTAATTTTTTTTATTTATTAAAAATTATCAATACCAATAATTACCACTAGGTATGCTTATCCATACATACTTAATCTTTGTTATTACAGTACACCGTGTTTTTTTAGGGATTGCAGGAACCTTTAAATTTGGTTTAGAATTAGAAATGTTGTAAGAATTGACTTTGGGCCGTTGTTAACCAATCTTGAATATTGTAGAAAATAATGTAATAAACTTGTTCTTGTCGCTACGTTTTTGTCTATTACGACCCGGTATATTGTGTAAATTTCAATACGCAAATAAAATGCTTAGACCATAGAAAATGTACGTGAAATAAGGATTCCAAATCCGCAAAAATCATCAAGAACCGTCAATCCAATGTCAAGTTATAGCATTTTAAAAATTTTGTTACCCAAACTTTATATTTGGTAGTGTCTAAAAGACCTAAGGGCCTTAATCCAAAAACTGACAAAAAAATCTAGAGATATTGATGTTACCTTAGTAACGAATCATATGGCAACGACCAAAAAATTTTTTTGTGGAACTTTTACTCATACAAACTTATATTTTTTGCTTGACTTCATTGATCCCGTATATAATAAATCTATGGTCCTACGATAAATATACACCATGCAGCTTAATCCAAAAAAAAAAACTAGCTCTTAAAATCTGCATGCCGCGTTCAAAAATTTGCATTCCTGTTGAAAATATTGAACTTTAAATTTTGCCTAAAAATCTCTATGTGTAAGTTCGAGTGGCCAGCAGTTTAGATCTTACTCGATTAACCAGCTCTGCATTAAAAGATCACGGAGCACATCCCATCGAGAAGCTGCAGATGTATTAAAAGAACGGCTTCGAGTAAAAAGAGCAAAACGAGGTAGTTTTTAAACGCAGCAATTATAGAGTAAAGAATCAATCTCTAACGTTCATTGGAGAAAATAAAGAAAATATTTTAAAAACTAGAAAACTAGAAAATAGGAAATAGCGTTAACCAAAAATTATATATCTCTTGGGGATACTGAAGTTAGATAAATTCATTGTGGATTCTTTGTTGTGTAACACCATCCAAATCTACCAAGTATGAGTATCAGCTATAAGGTACCTACATGATATATGATTATAATTCAACTAATTATGTTATCTTGCCCCTCAATTTTTATTTTATTCAATACATTTTATAATATAAAAAAAATTGCATTTCTTTTCATCCCTTCCATGTGATTGCCACCTTCTTATTTTTTTAATAGCGAGAATGGTCATGTGGCACTTTATTTGAAAGGGTTTGAATTAAAAAATGTATCACACTTACTAAACCTAACCATCTATCTGTTATGAGTTATTTTTATCAAATTCAAACCATACGCTCTTAAATATCAAGTTTTCACGTTGATTTTTTGAAATTTACATGGAGAACATTTTGAGAACCTTCTGTTATAATTTCTAGTTCGTTATAGTTATAATTAAGATGTAATATTTGTGTATTCTATTTAAAATTATGTATTGCATAAGACCTTAAATGTGATAAATTTTTGAATTCTGCTTTTTAAACCCTTTCCAACAAAGTGTCACACGACTCCTCTTGCTTTTCAAAAATAATTTAAGCAAAAATCACTGCGATTTGTAATCTTAATGTCGTAGAAATTATTAAATTATTGCTTATACGCCACCTATCAAATTCTAGAACGAACCATGCAAAAACAATTAAAAATTCACATGGTCTGCTGTGTAATTCGAAGCAGCGTGTAGGTTTCAACTTTAAAATAAGAAAAAATAGAAATATAATTCTTCAAATTTGAATTTTCTCGGAAAATATATTTGTGACGGTTTCACTTACTGATCATTGTAGCTGTTTACCCACGACGGGTTAAAATCTTTTACTTCGTTGTAGAATGAATCGATAGCTGATCGGATAACGTCCTTTTTATTTCCGGGAGTACCTTGGAACCATTTTATAAATAAGTTTTGGCCTACCCATGAATATTTTGCTACAGATAAAAAAATGAAAAAGATTAAAATAAAAAAACTGTATAGGAAATTGTATAATAAGTACTAACTAATATAAAAATTAAGATACTATACAGGGTGTTGCATAAGGAATGGGTAATATTTTACCTGCATATTCTATAGGGAAATTATAAATTTTTTGATTTTTAACTGAGGGTCAAATATTATGACGGATTCTGTTAAAATAAGACAGCTTAGGTCAGTGTTTCTCAAAGTGTGCTCTGCGGAGCCCTGGGGCTCCGCAAAGCCTCCGTGGGGACTCCGCAAAAATAGTAGTCATATTAAAAAAAAATACTATAGGGTTTTAACATGAAAATTGAACCTAATTTTGTTTTTTGATTTTTTCATTTCACCCTGTATATTCTTGACAACGAATAAATCAATAACACCAGCAAACTTGGTCTATGTAAGGATTATTTCAGAGAAATGGGTGCCTACTATATGTCAACCCGTATAGCACTTTAGTGTTTGGTGTGTTGCCTGTAAAGCCTGCTTAAATAACTATAATTTTTTAATATGAGCAGCAATCGTTTTTGTTTTCGTTTTAACTCGGTTAACGAAAAGGGTTTATCGTTTCTTTTGGTTCGACATGTTTGGTGTGTAAAAAACATCGTAAATTTAAATGTCCACATGTTTGGTAAGTTTATTTTAAATATTTGGATTTTAAAAAAAACATTCTTATGGGGTATTCTCTTTTTATAGGATATCACGGCCACTTAGGGACCATTTTAGTGTATCGACATTAGGATACGCCTCAGTGCTAGTTAAAAGGCACTGAGATTTTCAAGTCGTGGCTTGTGGAGCCATATTTATTTTTTTTTACCTCATTTTTGGAGACGAATTGTTAATGGTCATTGCACGAGTCCAAAAACAAATGTTGAAATTGTAGAAGGCATTTTACAACAGCACTCTAGGCTGTAGTGGTAAAGTATGTTGTAAAGTCAACCTTTTAGATCACAGTGTATGCCAGAGCCACGAAGAACTATCTCTGCCCATGGGATTACATTGAGTACACAACAGATGAGAGCCTAGCTGGTGGCTGTCACTATAAATCGTTTTTTTTAACCTCATCTTTTTTGAAGAACAGGGTGAATCAAGAAGAAGCATTTAAGTTCGTATAAGGGTAACTATACCTTAAAATTGAAGGTAACAATTTTATAGTTGTATACATTTTTTTTTTATATGAAATATAGTTAGATTTCCCTATATTTTTTTGAGTTTTCCAAAGTTTGATTACTGTTCACAGTTATCTGACTAGTAATAACACTTATGACTCCACAAACACAAGGTGATAGGGTACATACTGTATTAAAGTATTATACTTATTTTAGTTATACTAAAATAAGATTTATCGTAGGATAATTTTTCATTGGAATTTTTCGTATATATAGCATAGTGGGGACTTATTTGTAAAACCAGGTTTGATCCTGAAGATATTTCTTTTGAATTCAATTACAATCCAATTTAAGTCTAGTAACAGCTAATGTCTGAAATTTGTTAAATTTAGTTAAATAAATTACACTTAGTTTATTTTAAAGAACTCAACCATCAGCTATGTTTTAATATTCTAGGAAATACTGATGTCTGAATTACTGTTCACTCTCTATGTATGACAAAAGATCTCAACCAGTATAAAGTAAAATAAACATTTTCTACTAAATATATTTGAGTGTTTTTGTTTTTTTATTATTTCAGAGGTAAGAAATGTTATATCTTAAAGTACATCTTCATAAGATACCGTTCTTATGATTATTATTTCCTTCTTTAGTCTTTTTTAAATTAGGTGGCGCTCGGAGCCACTCTAGAAATCAAAACTCCACAACCAATGACCCAGTGCTGACTAGGCGAAAAGTAGCCGCGCTTGTGGTTTGAAAAAAAAGTGTTACTTTGATAAATTTTCAGATAAAAACACTTAAAGATTAAAAATTAACTTATCGGACCACAATTAATCTGTACAACCCTATTGTTGAGAAATCCTTAGATCCCTTAGTAAACGAAGATAACCATCATCCAGATTTAGATATCAGTTGTGAATTAATGGAAAAACTTGACAACAAAAATAACCTAGAATCTTCTTATACAAATTGTTATAATTTTCGTAAGGCAAATTTTCCACTTATGTATAATGTGATATCAAATATTGACTGGACTTTTTTAGAAAGCTTTTATAGTGCCGATGATGCCTGTACACATTTTTATGGCAAGCTGTATAATGTGTTAGATCGTTGTGAACCCAATTATACAGTGCATATTAAAAAAACATATCCTCCTTGGTTTAATCCCAAAATCATTAAAAAAATAAGGGAAAAATCAAAATTTTGGCGTCAATATAAAAAAGACAATGATATCAGGGCTTTTGAAAAATTTAAGCGCATAAGAGCTGAAGTTAAAATTGCAATTAAAACAGCACATGAAAATTATCTGTTAAAAGCAGAGAATGATATATCTATTAACTCTAACAAGTTTTGGGCCTACGTCAACAGTAGAAAAAGTTCTAGTAAAGTTGCTAATAACATGACCTATGAAAATTATACACTGGACAATCCTGCTGACATACTAAATAGTTTTGCTGATCTTTTTAGCAAGTCCTACGTTCATTCTAAAGTTTCTCATGTTGATGTGAATGAACTTAAATCAACTTGTTTAAATATTGACAGTTTTGACGAAAGCCAGGTACTTGGCGCATTAAAATCTATAAAACCTAAGCGAACTACGGGACCCGACCATATTCCTGCATTCATTTTGAAAGATTGTGCCCAAGTACTCGCTTATCCTCTGACAATCCTGATCAATATTTGCATCCGTTCTAGTACTATTCCGACCATGTGGAAGAGCTCTAAAGTATGTCCGATTTTTAAAAATGGAAATCGAACTGACGTTAAGAACTACCGACCTATTTCTATTATTTGCAATTTTTGTAAAGTATTAAAAATATTACTGGAACGCAGTATTTATCAACATATAACAACATGGATTTGTAAAAGGTCGATCAACAGTAACGAATCTCTCAGTCATTACTCAGCATATAGCAGAAAATATCGATAAACGTATTCAGACTGATGTTATTTATACAGATATGACTAAAGCATTTGACAGACTTGACCATGGAATTTCAGTAAAAAAACTGTCTGCTTTTGGACTCTCAGATAGTCTTATTGACTTACTAAAATCATATTTGTGTAACCATTCACAATACGTTCAGCTCAATGGATTCAAGTCTGTTAAGTACCTTGCCACATCGGGTGTCCCTCAAGGGTCGAATCTTGGCCCACTCTTATTTAATATTTTTATAAATGACATTGGTAGTGTAATTAATGTTAATTATCTACTGATGACCTTAAAATGTATGCTTCCATAAATAGTATTGCTGACTGCGAGCGACTTTCTGAAAATCTAAAACAAGTTAATCAATAATGGTGCCATAGAAATAATTTAAAATTGAACCCAGCCAAGTGAAATGTAATGTCGTACTCCTTAAAGTCATATCCAACTTTTTACCAGTATATTGTTGATGAAATTCCCTTAAACAGACCAAAAAACTTCGCCGATTTAAGAGTCCTATTTGATTCAGCACTTTCTTTGGGCAGAACGGAGTAGAGTCCCGTTTTTATCTGATATAATATTGGTCAAAAATTTAGATGGCTGAGTAGAGTCCGGGGTCAGATTAAATCATTAAAGGATTAACTACCTAGATTACGAATTTAAATATTTAGTATTATCTATTATTAATATATATTTCAAGAACTACCAATTATTTGTTTGTGAACATGAAAAGTACATATTGATTGGTCCCCTTCTACATCCCCGAAAATAAAAATATTAAATTATGTCGTTTGTTTATTACCGTTTTAGTTTAGTTTACAAACCAGCAAGTGAATTAGATCAAATTATGAGTGCATTAAAGTGTATACTTAGCGAGAAAGGAAAGGAGCTTCTAGTCTTAGATAGATATAAATATACTCCATACTTTTGACTGTTTCTAACAGCTCACCCCGTAGAGCGGCAAACTTGAGGTCCATAAGAAAGTTGTCGTTAATGACTTGAAAAATAACATACTAAAATTTGAACAAATTTTGTCAGTACCCAAAATCAATGTGAAAAGTGCGGGGTCCTTTCCACCATGCATATGGGCTGAAAATACAAGTAGTGTAAAAAGAACTACAAATACCTGCGAAAGTTTTCATTCACGGTTTAATTCGTTATTGTACCATTCACATCCTCATATTTTTCAATTTATTACAATTTTAATAGATTTTCAAAGTGATTCATATATGTATAAAGATTAGGACAGCGCAACAAAATGAAATGAAAATATACTCTGCAAAAACTATAGGAAACAAACAATTTTTGGATGACAACATATGTAATTGGGTATTACTTGTAGAATAGTGTATTTAATAAATAAATAAAAATAAAATAAATAAATAAGAACAGGAAGGGGTTAAAGGAGTACTATGAGGAAGTTCGTCACAACAGGGAGGACCTAGTTTGAGGACCTTTTTTTAACTAAGAAAGGATTTGATTTTGCTGGATGACCTTTTTTTGTTTTTGGAAATGACATCTAAACCAATACAAAGTTTATAAAATCTATTAAGGCTCCGTTAAATATTTCGTTTTTCAAACGGGTTCCGTCGCCAAAAAATTTTGAGAAACACTGGCTTAAGTTTTCTATGTGAGGCACAAATTTGATAGCTCATTCGATTTTCTCAGAAAGTATTCATATTTTGACATTCAAAAAATTCATATTTTCCACTATAGAATCTGCAGGTAAAATATTACCCTTTCCATTGACAGTAATTCGTGTTCGTGATCCGAAAAAATGGAAATAAATCACTTCATTTGAATCATTTTTTTTTACTTAAAAGGATTTGAACATGGAATCCGTTATTCGAATCACATCTCGTTAATCGGATACGTGATTCGAATTTATTTTTTGAGAATTCATCTCAGCTCTTTTATCGACCTAGTAACGGGTCAACAACGGACCACCAGATGCTTCTTAACACTTATTTTAATTAAAAATAATTTTATTTCCGTAAGATTACAGTTTTTGCAAAGAAAAATTCACAATCTTTCGGCTCTATGTTAATACACACTTTCGACCACTAATTAAAAATAAAAACTGTTTTAATTTAACTTAATCTAAACATTTTTCAAAAATAACAAATTGCTGACAAAACGCTTTAAAAGTATACTGAATCGTGAGTGAAGTAGACTTGATCGTCGCGTTGCCATATTTATCTTTGCTGGGCTAGAAGTAAAGTCGGAAATGACTATATCAATGATTATGAGATTAACCTAGGCTGTTTGGATATACTAGAAGAATAGTAAACCCTATATTAGATACCCGAAAGATAATGAGTATTCCGAGTAAAAGAATATGAAAATTAATCCTTTCATAGCAACTAATTTTAAAACTTACCTGTTTTTCTACATTTATCGTGCGCAAATTTACATTTATTGGTTAAACATTGAGCTATGTATGCCAATTCTTTGTTGTAATTCTAAAACAATAAAAAATATATTAATGTGTTGTGTCTGAAATTTGAGTCTATATAGATGTACCGTTTAATAGAAAGTCGGTTGAATGGAAAAAGTTTTTCAGTTATTTCAAATAACTAATAATATAATAATAATAATAAAAATTATAATAACTGGCTAGATTTGCAATCGATAGAAACTTACCAAGGCGTTCATATTTGATGCAGAAGGTTGCCTATGGGACGTTTCTCGACCAAATGCAACCTTGTTTCTTAAAGAATTGTGTTGATCGAGAATATTTCTTATGTCTTCGTTGGACAAACCAATTTGTCTAGCGTTTCGACCGCATGATGAAGAATCTATGCCGCAGTTCTATAGAATACAAAATTAAAATTTTATACAAATAATTATTATTTGAATTCAATATCAGAAAAAAATTGAATGCTTAGAAAGGAATATTTTTAAATAAAAAAATATTTGAATATAGGGTTTGCCAGATTCGAATATCTAAAATTTGGTTATACCAATCGAAAAGCTGTCAAAAAATCGGGACTTTGAGTACCAATCGGGAGCTCTTGAGGGTTCACTTCTCTGGTGCACAAACCATAGCGCACACACCGGCTAACCGGAATCTAAATGGACTGCAAGCTCATAATAGAGCCAACAATTAAGATTGGAGGATAGCCAAACAAGTGGTGAATTATGGTAAACTGAAATGGTCAATTAGCTCATTTGAACCATATAAATATTATAAATCACCGGGCATAGACGGGATTTATCCAATAAAGTTACAAAGAGGTCCTGATATTTTATACAGCAGACTCTGTAACATACTCAGAAGTAGTCTGGCCTTTGGACACGTACCAAAAGCTTGGAGAAATATTAGGGTAACTTTTATAACAAAACCTGGGAAAATAGGAGAGGAAACGGCAAAGTCCCTAAGACCAATAAGTCTTATGTCCTTTGTACTTAAGACTTTGGACAAACTGCTAGTTAGATAAGCATATTAGAGACATGATATTGGTTCAGAGGCCAATATACCAAGACCAATACGCCTATAGTGCAGGGAAATCAACTGAAACAGCTTTCCATCGATTAATAAAAGGGAAAACAAGAAGGTAATGCAAGGAGTATTCTTGGATATCGAGGGTGCATTTGACAATACCTCCGTTGAATCGATCATTAGATCTCTCAAACACAGAGGAATCGAGAACACGTACGTCTCCTAGAAAGACTCCATGCTAAGGGAGAGAACTATACACACAACCCTTATAGGAGAGACAATAGCGGCACGGGTAGCGAAAGGATGTCCGCAGGGTGGAGTGCTGTCTCCACTCCTGTGGAACCTTGTAGTGGACGAGCTGCTTAGGGCTCTCAAATATAAGGGAAATAGAACCCTGGGATATGCCGATGATCTAGTGATCATGGCACAGGGAAAATACAACATTATAGTAAGAGATCGAATGCTGAAAATATAGTAACAAAATGGACAGAGGCGGAAGGACTAAACAGGAAGGACTAAACAATAGCCCAAACAAATCTGACATAATTGCTTTCACCCGTAGGAGGAAATTGGAGAGACTAGGGCCTCTAAACCTAAGAGGTGCAAGTATCCAGCTTAAGGGGGAGGTAAAATATGTTACCTGGAACTAGCATCTAAAAAAAATCACAAGGAGAGTGGAAAACTCTTTAATGGAAAAAATGGGGCTTAAAACCAGACATGGTATATTATAATAATAGTAATAATAATTGGCTTTATAACATGGTGGTGAGACCGATAACATACGCAGCTTTGGTGTGGTGGCCAAAGACACAGCAATGGCAAGCAATAACGAAGCTAAGCAAAGTACAAAGACTTGTCTGCCTCGGAATAACGGGGGCAATGAAAACAACTCCCACAGTTGCAATGGGACTCCCACCTCTTCACTATGTGATGCAAGGGGAGGCAAGATTAGGTGCTTACAGATTAGGGAATACACTGGAAAATCTTGACATTAGGCCAGGTTACATGAGTATCTCCAGGTTAGTGACAGGAGACGTGCTAGACATAAGATCGGATCACATAACGAAGAGGTACTCTTTTAATACTTCATTTGAGGTTTTATTATAGGAAAGAGCGGAGATCGCCATAAGGGAGCCCAATGCCCAACGACAGGAACAAACCTGGTATACAGACGGGTCTAAGACTGCGGAAGGCACTGAGGCGAGAGTATTATTCAAAAACCCTGATACTAACCATGGCAGTGCTATAAGAATACATTCCTCGATATTTCAGGCCGAGGTATACGCAATTTTGCAATGTGCAAAAACGAATAATAAAAGAGCTGTCGAAAATCAGCGTATTCAAATAATGTCAAACAGTCAAGCTGCACTTAAGGCCATATCGAGTCGAGAGTACCAAAAAATACCCTCTGGGGTTTTATAAACGACTGGATTCGGGAACAACATATTAACTATTGGGGAAGCACCCCAAAACAGGCCCATGGAAAAGCCTTCATAGGCAAACCATGTCCCAAAAGAACTGGAAAACTACTCTTTATGAATAGGAACCAGTTGAAAGTGATAACAGGGTTCATGACTGGGGACGCCCCAGTAAAGGGACACTTAAACAAAATTGGCATGTACAATGGGGAACTCATGTGCCGACTATGTCACAAGAAACCAGAAACGGCCAAACACATACTGTGCGAATGCGAAGCTCTAGATCGCAAAAGACAGGCACTTTTTGGACAACCTCAGGTTCATCCAACAACGTATATAACTCACTCATCCAAGGATCTGTACAAACGTGTACAAGGTACAAAGGTGCTATAAACTAACATGGAGTAAAACACAATAAGCCAATAGGCTTCAGTGTTATTCGGAGACATATAGTCAAACGAGCCCAGGAGAAAAAAAAAACCAATCGGAAAGCTATTTTTCTAAAGGAATATATTTAAGGAAATAAAATTCATAATTCTCAAAATAAAACAATAAAACTTATCATTAAATTTAGAGACATAAATTAACCCAAAAGAAAAAATGCATTATTCCATGGGTCTACACGGTGTGAAACAGCCAAATGGAATAAATTCGGTGAAAATACATGTCATGTAACAGTGCAATGCCAACTTTTTTATTTTAAATGCAACACTCTGTATATTTTTCAATTTTTGGATTCTTTAGAAAATTCTAGATATATTTTATGAACTATGTCATATACCTAACTGTTGGTTACCTATAGTAACGAATTTCTGTAATCAAATTATTTTGTTTCATAAAGGTTAATTTTTGAAAACAATTTAATATATCCGAAACAGTTAGGTACATAAAATATGGCTCGAATTTTCTGAAGAATTCAAAAATTGAAAAATATACAGGGTGTTGTATTTAAAATAAGAAAGTAGGTATTGGCCAATCGATCCCATTCATTCATTTATTACCGAATTTAGTCCATTTGGCTGTTTCACAGTGTATACAATTCTCAACGTCAAAACCTAATAAAATCTTAATAATATGACGAATAAATGATTTCATATATCGAAAATAAGTGACTTATAACTATTTATAATGTTTTTCCTACATTAAAAAAAATTTCCCAATATCCCCAATTTCTGAATAATTATTTTACCCATGTGAAATCGGGACAATTAGGGCCCCGACGTATAGTCCATCGGGACATTGGACAAAATTTTCAATATCTGGCAATCCTAATTGGATAGTCTAGAAAATTAAAACATTTCTTTTCTTTACCTTTTTGGGAATTATGATTATTTTCGGCCTCGAGTTTTCAACGGTTTTTTACGTTTTGGGGACCCGTGTGTGTGTGTGTGTGTGTGTGTGTGTGTGTGTGTGTGTGTGTGTGTGTGTGTGTGTGTGTGTGTGTGTGTGTGTGTGTGTGTGTGTGTGTGTGTGTGTGTGTGTGTGTGTGTGTGTGTGTGTGTGTGTGTGTGTGTGTGTGTGTGTGTGTGTGTGTGTGTGTGTGTGTGTGTGTGTGTGTGTGTGTGTGTGTGTGTGTGTGTGTGTGTGTGTGTGTGTGTGTGTGTGTGTGTGTGTGTGTGTGTGTGTGTGTGTGTGTGTGTGTGTGTGTGTGTGTGTGTGTGTGTGTGTGTGTGTGTGTGTGTGTGTGTGTGTGTGTGTGTGTGTGTGTGTGTGTGTGTGTGTGTGTGTGTGTGTGTGTGTGTGTGTGTGTGTGTGTGTGTGTGTGTGTGTGTGTGTGTGTGTGTGTGTGTGTGTGTGTGTGTGTGTGTGTGTGTGTGTGTGTGTGTGTGTGTGTGTGTGTGTGTGTGTGTGTGTGTGTGTGTGTGTGTGTGTGTGTGTGTGTGTGTGTGTGTGTGTGTGTGTGTGTGTGTGTGTGTGTGTGTGTGTGTGTGTGTGTGTGTGTGTGTGTGTGTGTGTGTGTGTGTGTGTGTGTGTGTGTGTGTGTGTGTGTGTGTGTGTGTGTGTGTGTGTGTGTGTGTGTGTGTGTGTGTGTGTGTGTGTGTGTGTGTGTGTGTGTGTGTGTGTGTGTGTGTGTGTGTGTGTGTGTGTGTGTGTGTGTGTGTGTGTGTGTGTGTGTGTGTGTGTGTGTGTGTGTGTGTGTGTGTGTGTGTGTGTGTGTGTGTGTGTGTGTGTGTGTGTGTGTGTGTGTGTGTGTGTGTGTGTGTGTGTGTGTGTGTGTGTGTGTGTGTGTGTGTGTGTGTGTGTGTGTGTGTGTGTGTGTGTGTGTGTGTGTGTGTGTGTGTGTGTGTGTGTGTGTGTGTGTGTGTGTGTGTGTGTGTGTGTGTGTGTGTGTGTGTGTGTGTGTGTGTGTGTGTGTGTGTGTGTGTGTGTGTGTGTGTGTGTGTGTGTGTGTGTGTGTGTGTGTGTGTGTGTGTGTGTGTGTGTGTATGTGTGTGTGTGTGTGTGTGTGTGTCCTCGATCACTCATGAATGGATACAAAGCAAAACACCAAATTTTAAACTTAAGCTTTTTTTTGGCCTCCAGTAAACTGATTAGATTTTGGACAGAGTCGGAACATCTGGAGGGGTACTTTATGAGAGGTCATATTTAAATTTTAGGAATATATCTCTTATTTACGCTTGGAATAGAAAATGTTTTAAATATAAAATACTAACAATATTATGATCTATAATTTTTGTTTTATACAAAATTTTTCTAAAATGGTCCGTATTTGAGAAATTTGACAAAATGTAAAAAAAAATAATTTTTTAAAAAATTGTTCAAATAAGGTTGTTTTTTATATAAATCTCTATAATTTTTATTTTATACATAATTTCTCTAAAATAGACCGTATTCGAGTAATTTGAGAACATGTGTAAATTTAGAATTGTGAAGAAAACTCAAAAACGGATAAAGGAAAAAACATTAAATTTTAAACTTAAGTTTTATTTCGGCCTCAGGTAAGATGATTAGATTTTGGACAAAGTCGGAACATCTGGGGGATACTTTATGGGAGGTCGTTTCTATATTTTATGGAATATATCTGTTATTAATGTTTGGTGAAGAAAATTGTTCAAATAAAAGTTACTTCTAATATTATTATCTATAATTTTTGCTAAATGCCAAATTTTATTGAAATTGTCCGTATTCGAGAAATTTGACAAAATGTGCAAAATTCTGATTTTTAAGAAAATTATTAAACTAAAAGTTGTTTGCGATATCGATCTCTATAATTTTTTTTAACATGATTTTTCTCAAATGGACCGTAATAGAAAAATTGGAGGAAAAGTGCTAAATTTAAATGTTTTAGTAGTTTCGTTTTCAATGATTATCTAAAGAAAAATGTTTCAAGATGTATATGAAAAATGTATATATTTAGTTTATTCTCTAAACATTTATAGAGGTACTGCAATAGGTTGTACAAAATAACCGAAAAAAGCCTGTAATAACTAGATAGGAAAGTCATGTGTTGGGCACATCAGATTTTTTTATAAAAGTTCAAAAGTTGTTCGTGAGTAACAAAATAAAAATATTGTAATAAAATTTAAGTTTTAGATAAACGTTTTCAAAACGTTCATTTAATAATTAAAATATTCAAGTAAAACTCAAAGTCTACAATTACACAAAAAAAAATATTTTGCTTACCCCATTTCTTCTAACACAGGCAAGATGGTCATTACAAAATCGGCAATACTGATTTTGTGCATTTGCAATAGAAAATATAACGAAAAAAACTATAATACCGAATTTCTCCATAGCGTTCAATATTTTTTTAACAATCCAATTATTTACGTTTGCAGAAAAAAATGTTTAGGAAAAGAAGTAGGTAAATAACTACAATTAGAAAAATTGAAACTTTTTAAGTACAATGGTACGTTTATGCCTATAGATACATATCGTAACAATATTCACGTCCAGCAAGTAGCTAAATATAAGAATATTTTTCTTGATAAGCCGGTATATTAAAAAACGTTTTAAAATAAAAGATACGAGATAATTTAAATTCTCAATGTCATTTTTAATTTCTAATTTCTACAATTTCATTTGATCGATTTACCCACTTACTAAGTAATTGTGGTTATTCCATGGAAATTGGGGAAGAGCTGGGCAGAATTAAAATTTTCAAGGAGGGAACGCATTGAATGGTCGCGATCCCGTCGCATCGCGGTTTGTTCTGTGCTGAGCTGATCGTGGTGTAAACAAAATCAGTTGCATTTCGCAATCGCGCACAATCCTACTTCCGCTCTTCTTAAAGTTGTAGCATTGTATTTAGATATTGTAGCTTATTTAGTTAAGAAAAATATTTTATTGCTCTTCTATTTGAAGGAGAAGAAAAGCGCCAAAGAAAAAAGCTTGCAAGATGTCATATTTATTCAATTAACAGAACCAGACAAGTAGAGAGTGAATTATAAATTTTATTCAACAGAAAATTGTTATTGAACGGACAGCGATTGTTTCAGTACTTTCTTATGTCATTTTGATACCAAAATACAAAAATAATGGCTTTAATTTTTTTATATAATTTTCAGTATAATTTTGCTCTACAAAAAATCAGTTAAATAAACTTTGTCGTGGCGTACGGCATGGGTACGTCTAAATTTTATGCCTCTCTCAAAAGACTTATTAGGACTATAATTTTATAGCTTTTGATATTTTTTAAATAAATTATGTACTTTTGTTGGTAACTTCAGAATTCCAAAACAAATTAAAATAAAAAATATCCCAAATATCTCTAAAACTAATCACTTTATTATGTTTCCAACAAGAGTACATGCGAGCGCCGAGAATCTACTGGAGCAGAGCTGGTTGTATATAAATAGTGCGACTTTATTTGTAAAGCCGGTTTTGATTTAAATATTAAACTAGTTGGGTAAATTATTTGACTTATAGTTATTAGTTTTTTATGAAATGGGAGGGATACTTTACCCTGAGCCTGCTCGGTTATTTGCATTTCTCGTATTTTTAGATGTTTGGAGTACAGTTTTGGTGTGCAGTTTTAGTACACAGACTGGCACTATCAGACGTAGATTGAATAGTCGATTTTCGTGTTTCAACTCTGAAGGTTTTGCTACTACCCCCACAGATACTAAAAGCACGAACTGAAATCTCATCTAGTCACCTTCGGTTAAGGATTGTTCATAAGTATTGAAGGAAGCTGTAGATACACAGCTGGAACGTTCGCCGAAGTTCAACGGAGAACAGGGTTAATTAATTTTGTTCTTAGCGTCTTATGGCTTCAATGTTATAATAGATATTTTAGTTCTTTTAAGTAATATTTTGGGAAGAGGCTTGTTCTGTTTCATACGAGATAGTATATTACATAGTAATGGGATTTTATGAATTTTTATTAGCTAAAAAAGAAATGAAAAAGAAGAACTGGAACATAAAGAACAGGCGAAAGACAATAAATTAAAGAGCCATAAGGTGGAATCGACGTGTTAAAGTTACAACTTTCGACGGGAAGATATCGTGGACTAGTTACCTACAACAGTTCAAAACAGCTGCGTGAGCAAACAAATTTTCTAAAAAAGAAAAGGCAATACATCTGACCATGGCCCTTCAAGGAGATTGAAAAGAGACTTAACATGCGATATGGCCACAAACACTTAAAGCAGGTGTACCGAATACAGTTAAAGAATCACAGAAACGTGACGAGAGCCTTCAAGAATACGAATGACATATTGCCCCGATGGTGCGATTTTCCTATTCATCAGCTCCAGAATACATGATTGAATGTTTGGCTATTCAAGAATTTTTTGATGGACTTCGAGAGGATGAAATGCAAATATCACTCCATTTAGTCCGTCACAAAACATTGGTCGATGTCCGCCGCTTTTGAATATGAAGCGGCTACTCTGGCTTCTGATAGAGTAAGTAAGAACTGTAAAAGAGGTAGAACAGAGAAATAAATTCGACCAATTGTTTCACATGATGAAAAGACATATTGAAAAACAAACGAAATGTAAGCAATTCGAGCAAACGCCCAAATAACACTAAGAATCGAATAAACAGTGCCTGTAGCTGTACAGGAAGGACCAGTGATATCTGATAGATGTAAAATCATAAGAGTACCGTGGTTACAAGGAACTGTAGAGAAAGGAACGCCTGTCATGGTGGAACCTTCAGTGGTGCAACGAAGGTGTTGGTCAAGGAACTCTGTTTCAAAGAACTTTGTTGGCCACATCTACTAAAGAAGTTACAGTACGACAAACAATGGTTGACAACGATGAGTGAGCTCCTGCCAGCCTTGGGGAAAAACAAGAGAATGAGCCTGTCTTAAAAAATATGCGACAATGGAAAGGGGAAAATCGTCGACCTACTTGGAAAGAAGTATCGAAACTCTCTTTAGTTAAGTGATATTGGGCTCAGTAAGACTTTTATTCTAGAAGAAGGCTTATTAAAGCGAAAACTAGAGAATGAGGATGGTTCCAAAAGCAGAAGACAGTTGGTCATTCCAAAGGCTAGAGTAGCCGTAGTACTACGTCAGTTACACGACAGTCTATTAGGGAGACAACTCAGTGGTAAGGAACCCTTTCAGAGAGTTCGTGAAAGCTTTTATTATATGAACAGTTCCGATGAT